TGAAAAAAAAAATAACAATGCTTATCATTTCAGGTTAGAGACTGGGGTGGAAAGGTTTTCCTCTTATATGGTGTTAGCATTCTGACACTGTAACAAATTCCCAAGATTCGCAAAGGAAGGAAAGTTTATGTTGGCTTAACATTTCAGTGGTTTCAGTCCATAATCAGCCAGTTTCTTTGCTCTTTTGCCTGCAGCGAGGCAGAAGCATCACAGGGGAAGGGTATGCCAGAGGAAACCGCTCAAGTGTTGGCAGTCAGGAAGTGGTGTCCGGCCTCAACACACCATTAAGGCCACACTTCCTAGGATCACCTTCCTCCAAAGAGATCTCATCTCGTGCCCCTCCTGACCTTCCCACCCTTTCCCCATGGAAGCACCAGCTGGAAACCAAGCCTCCAACATGGGAGGCCTCGAGGGACACTCCAGAAACCAACCATAGCACGTGGGAGGTAAAACCACATGAAGGACAGAACCCTCAAGTTGCTCCTGAGCCCTGTAAGTCTGCAGAAGCCCAGCGCTGTCTCAGCGCACCCACAGAAGGTGAATGGGCCCAACATGGCAGGAGCATGCGGTAAGGACCTGCTACAGCACATTCCATTCCTGTTGCTCAAATGCCCTTCCTGAAAGACAAATGAATCTCCACACCTACTGATGTGGGTTTTTAGACACTTGCATTTGACAGTGAACCAGCGGGTAAGAACAACTAACTCTTGAAACAATGTTTCACAGAAGTAGTGAAGAAGGCTATAAAAATACTATTTCTCACTTCAGGAGAAAATCCCAGTTATTTTGAGCAGGAAATTATAAACTCAAAGTAAAGACAGGACATAGAATTTATTAGGCCATTCAGATTCTCTTAAAAGAACTAACATGTACCAATAGGAAAAAGTAAAGATGAGCCAATCTTTCAAAATCCCAGAGGCCTATTTAGGCAGCAGATGACTTTTCAAATGTTGCCATTTAATTCCCTCTGAATGTACTCTTAGTCCTAGAAATGACAAAAGACTTGGGGTATAAACAATTAATTACATCACCTGGATCCATTTGCAATAAAACATTTTCATCAAAGTTTTTTTCATTCCAATGCTGTATGCTTATATCTATTGTATGCTTCTACTTCTAATGTAGAAGACTGAAATTAGTTTTTCAATGAAAAAAATGTGCTTATGATCTAATTTTCTTATACTTTACAGTCTTGAAAATCCTAAAACATTTATCCTAAATTAAATCCTAGAAATTTATCAAATCCTTCTCTAATCAACACAGTCTTACTTCACACAGTCTTACTAAAGCAATATGATCTTGCTCTAGCCAAACAAAATGCACCAAATCACACAGAGATGGGAAGAGTACTTTTCTACCCTCAAAGATGATGTATGGTGAATACATTATTAAGAGAAAAAATATATTAAGAATATAAAGGAAGAGGAGAAAGAAGTGCTGCCATGATAAAAACTTTACAACGTTTGGAATGCTATGCATTCTTTACTGATTCTAACTAGTCCGGCATATAAAATGATGGAAGGAAGAATTCTTCGTGTCTGTAGATATTTTTAAACAAAGGTATCTTATCGCACAGACTCACAGATTAAAGCCTGACTCCTTTGGCATCTTTAAAGAATTTCATGTTAGCCTGAAAAAATTTATACTTAAAGAAGAAAACTTTCTTCATCCTAATCAATAAGGTAGTGCCTTGACTACAGAGACTGAGACTTCTGGAAAATTGTCCCACCTTCTCATACCCAGCTATTCCACAGAAAAACAAAAAAAGGGAAAGGAAAAGGAATCTCACATGAGTGACTGAATTCCTGTGCTGGAATTTTTAGTGTTTTACAAGAAAAAAAAAAAAAAAACCTTGGTCATTTTGAAAGTTTGTAAAATGCAATCCTATTTAGAGCAACGGTGAAATTAAACCTTGTGTGCTCATTGCAAAGTTTGCAGCATTTGACAAATTGTAATTCTGTTCTTTGCAAACTTCTAAACACTTCCTGCTAAGTGACAACAAGCTTCACCAAGTTTCCACAACCCTTCTGCAGCTTCTTCAGCTCACTATAAAGAACAGATGCCTTTTCGGGGCTGCTGTGAGCTCTTCTGTTCTCTGCACAATATGTACACGTACAGAAAAGAACTCACATTAGATACAAATGTGATAGCCGAGGCCTCCACAAAGCCTCTGCCGAGAGCATGCAGCCCTCCAGCAGCTGGCTGTGGGCAAAGGCTCACTCTCAATCATGGGGAAATGTGACAGACTCGTGACTCTGGCAAAAGCGATAAAATTTACAGCTTCAGAGAATCACATCAATAACAAAAGAATTTGTTATTAAAATATACAAAGATGCTCCGATTGTTTTCTAACAAGACTAATGAAAATGAATGTATATTTTCATGTTTACTATTAGAAAAAGTAAAAAAGTGGATAAATGAATATACTTCTGGTCATTTTCATGTAAATCCTTAGAGCAAAGCCTGTATACCTGGCACTGTTTCGTCCTATGAACATTAATGACAGTAAATTCAAGTTAGAATGAGCAAGTGCATCCTGGGAAATGCATTAACTCTACTACCTACTTGCTTTTCAAGGTCATTATTTTAGAGAACTCAGTCACATAAATGTAAACTTATTCACAGAGTTCACAGGTAGAGTTTTGCCAGTAGGTATATTTATTTCACTGATTTTCAAATGGATTTTTGATTGTATAATTTAAAATTTTATCATTACAAAATCTTTCAGATGGTTTATTTCATTCAATAGTACAAAAACTCCTCCCAAAAGAACTCATCCTTGAGTTATTTTTTATATGAAGCTGATCTTCAGATTCATCTGTACTAATGATCAAAACTAGAAATTGTTAGGCCTTTCCTCTAGGAAGTGAAAACAGCAAATGTGATTTTGGGGCTATCTAGACACAATTAGAATCAGACAAGTTTGTCACATATTGTTCTAAAAATAAATAAATAAGGAAACAGTTGTTCAAGACATTTAAATAATCATTAGTATTTTGAGAACAATTTAAAAAAATTACATATGTATATATATTCCAGTGAAAAACAGAAAAAAAAGACAGCCTTTATTAAACATACAAAACACTTATTAAGTAAATTCTAGAACAAGGTGTTATACATACATATATTATAATTTTATTTTCTCACATAAACTGTATGAGTTTAGGTGGGAGGATCCATGATACAAATGGTCTTAAGAAACACAGGTGATATAATAATTTTTTGTATTACTTTTCATAGGATTTTGCCTACTCTGGGCTTTCAAAATTGGCATCTTCTAGTTTGCAGTTTGGGTTATAGTTGGATATTACAGGTATTATTTGAATCCCAAAACTTTGTAAATACTTTCCATTTAGTGCTTCCATTGTTATATTCATTAATTTTAATTAATCAATAATTTAATTAGCAAACATACTAAACATCACACACAGAAGAATATACTGCTGTATGACCTATATGCTCTCTGAAATTTGGCAAGTTTTTAAACATCTCTGAAGCTCATTTTTATTTATAAAATTGGATTGACAATGTTGCCTGACTCAAAGATTTGTTGGGAGGAATAAGTCAATTAAAATATTCACATTACTAACAATAGCATCTCTTACTTGGTAAGTGCTCAGTAAATATTAGTTATTAGCAGTATTAACAAGAATGTGGTTTCTTCTCCTATAATGTAGTCCCTACAATGAACATATAATTTATCATCCAAACCAGGAATCTTCTGAAAATAAAATAAGGCACAATAATTTCATGAGAAAGAAAACAAAAACATGATAGTCCTAGGAAAACAGGACCATATAGCCATTCTTTTTGACACTTAAGCCTCATTAAGCATATATTTGAGTATTATATTAAAATAGATAAAGGGAAATGAAGTTAGGTTCAAATTTATAGAAATTCATAGCTAGAAGAGATTTTAAAATCATATAGCTTGATTTAACTATTCTGCAGAAATTTCAGGCCCCCAAATTTGGAAGGACTTAATCAAATTCTTAATGAGAGGGACCAGGGCTTTAGCTCAGGAGTTCGGGTGCCTGATTCACAAGGGCAAGGTCCTGAGTTAGATCCGTGGTACCGAAAAAAATTCTTAATGAGAAATTGATTTCTGTCCCTGGTACATGGGCCAGAACAACTTGGCTTGTTGCCTATATTCAATGAAAATTATCATGAAAAGTTAATTTGGTGGAATTTTTCTTGTTTTGCTTCAATTTCATGAGAAAAAACTAACAAAGAAATCTAAGCAGTGAGTTATCTCCAGGCTGGATTTCACTGCTGGGGTCAGTTGCAGAAAACAGATGGAAAATGAGAAGGGAACAAGTGATGCGAATTGATGGCATTCAAAGCATTCCCAGCTAAGTGGACACCATCTCTCAAGGGGGATCCTGAGTATATTTTATTTTTAATAAAAGAAGACAATTAATTTGAAGATGGAGAAGGAGGGAGAGATGACAGAAAGCTATTTTGGACAAGTAGAGAGAATTCAAAAGTGAATTGCTCATGGATTTCTTGTCTGAAGCCCCTTTCATTGAGATCTTTGCCACCTAGGTTCTTGGAATCTGACTGACTCCCTCGCTTGTCTTTCATCCTAACCTTGGATTTCTTCTACTCATGAGACCTTTCCCTGCCCTTTGGTGGAGGGTAAGATTATAGGTAGTGGTCTTATGGACAGGTAACTTAGGCTAAATGATGAAGTGAAGGGGAAATTTGCAATTCTTATATTAATCGTGCTACCTAGGAACTTCCTGGTCCTGAGTTCTTTGTCTGTCTTCCTCATAGCTTGAGTTCAGCTGCCTTTGTCTTTCTTATTACTCAGAGTCCAGCTGCCTTTGCCCTTCTTATTGCTGGCATCTGGCTGCAGAGGTCAAAACTGCATTATTAATTATTAATAAAGCTCAATGAGGCCTTCATCCTATCTTTTCCCTAATTACAGTGCCCCCATCTTCCACTCCCCACTCTGAGACAACCGTCCAACTGTTGTTGGGGAAAAGGGTGTGACTGACCTGACTTCTTTGAGCTGAATGGGGACATAAATTGGGGAGCAGTGGATGGAAGTTTTTAGCAGGGAAGTTCATCTGATGGATCTCTGAGGAAGAAGTCTGGCACCTGTGCAGTGCGTTTTGTCTGTGTGACCACTTGGTTTGGCAACCTCTAGGAGAGAAAAAAACAAGCTTTATCAAGAGATTAATGCACATAAGACCAAACCATGAGCAATAGAATAGAAAGGCAGATTCGGGAAGGAGCCAGGTCAGACAGTTTTTAAACGACTGGAATAGCAATTGTAACCAGCTGGCCCTTGGAACTGTGTGTGATCCGTGACTGGAACCCCACTCTGAATGTGTAGCCTGTTTTGTTATTACTCATACATATCTCTGGCTATGTGCTCCTGCTGCGGGGTGTTCAGATCAAGTTAAGATGAGATCTTTGTCAATCATAATTTACCTCCTGATGTATTAAGGTCAGTCAAGTTTCCTCAGGTATTTCTTCTGGGGCCATAGTCAGACTCTCCTAGCTCTTTCAGTTCATCCTCTGTCACATGTGCCATCTACCAGGATGGGTCACTGTCTATGCTAGAACACAGAGCATTCCTTGGAAGCATGGGAACATATTTCCCTTCAGTGACTTGCCCTCTACCACGAGGCACAATGGTCAACTCCTGTCCTTTGGGTTCCAAAATTTCTTTGTTTAGGAGGTTGGGTGACTCACCAGAGTTGCAAGATCCTGCAGAAAGATCCCCTAATCTCCTGGGTCTTTGTTGACCTTGGAGGGCCAGGGCCAAAACATTGGCTGTCCTCTTAACTCAATTATTTTTTTAGTTTTGGTCTCCCAAACCTCAGCTGTTGAACACTCAGCAAGAAAAGATTGATTGCATCAGTGGTATAATAGGAGTCGTTAATTTTGTGATTTTATCTGGATTCCGAGTCTATAATACTTTCCACTCTGAAGGGGTGCCCCTAACTATGTGAAGGGCCAAGGGCAGTAACCTCTGTGGCTACTTCTGGTGGGAGGTAGTCAGAGTTGTGGTCAGAAATCTGAGTACACTTTTCAAAGGTCCTAGGTGAATATGTATGTACACTGAACATCAAATCAAAGGAATTATTTTCTTCCTTTAGGGAACTGTATGCTAACTGTGCTTTGGATGACCCACTCTTCCCTCAGCTCTCTAATGAGGTTAAAATTTTTTCTTCCTTCAGGTTGCAGAGATAGGGCTGGTGTCCTGGAACAAGCTAATCACACACAAGAATCTCTTTTCTACTGAGGAGGCAGTCAGGTTGGATGTAAAACTCAAGTGAGGCCAGAGTCAAGAAAAGATTTGGATTTCAACTACTAGGAGCATTTTTTATTGGACTACGGTATTTACAATAAACTCAGGAAGTTGCTACTGTAGTGAAAGTGATGCCTGATATTTGATATTACTTTGAATACTTTTTATACTATTTTGAAAAAAATCCTATTTTGCTTCACCAGTAAGCAGCAGATTTCCTATTACCTGTAATTTGTTTCTAAAGGGACAGATGTTTGAGGCCCATGACTACACCATGGTGTCCAGAGGACCTGGAACAGGCCTGAACTTGCAGACTGACTCACTAGCTTATGTCAAAGAGGGATGAAAATGAATCAGGATTTAAACACGACCAAAGTAATGGTTCTCAGACCAGCTACACGTTAGTATATAGATCTGCTGATTTTTTAAAATTTACCCATATCAAAAGTCAATTGATCTGGCCTGGAAATTATACCTCAGATTTTTCTCATATTCACCCAGGGCTGAACACCATTGACCTAATCATTTAAACATGGTATCAAATGGACTCCAAAGAACTGTTCAGTTTCTGCTCACTGATGTGAAGTCTTTAACAATGGTTAGGGCAAACCTGGGCTGCTCCAGCTGTACTCAGACCTGAGGTTGAACATCACACTGCTTCATATAAGCAAGATACTGGCTGAAGCATGTAAAGCACTTGACATCTGAAGTTGCTGTTGTTATTTAATGTATGAGACATGAGCAAAATATTCAGTGTGTATTGAGTTTTAAAAAATTTATCACAGTAAGAGATACAGTGCCATTAATCCCCCTCTCCTTGAGCACACATCTCATAGTTCATGCCACTTTCTAAAGCAGTAGTAGAAATTTTCTTTTGTATCTTTAGTTGCACTATCCACGTTCTGAATCAGTTCAAAGTATTTCCCTTTCTTGGTCATTTTGATTTGGGGAAAGAGCCAGAAGTTGCACAGTGCCAGATCCAGTGAATAAAGGGGACGAAGACACAGCATCATATTTTTAGGAGCCTGCCTTTCCGTTGTATGGCACTCAGCACCAGGATTCATTGCATTTTTAATCATACCTCCTAAAGACACTCATGAAAGAGTACTTCCAGAATGACTTCAGAAAGTTGCAAGAACCGTGGGATGAGTATAATTGAAGTGAGGTGGAGAATTTTGAGGGGGACTAATGAAAATGTGCCTTTTGCTGTAATGCACTTTACAAATATTCACTGTATTTTTATCACACTACCGTATATAGAGATACTTATTATGAGAGATTGGCTAAGGCAGTTACGGATGCCGGGAAGTCCTGTAAGTAGGAATTTGCAAGTTGGAGACCCAGGATAGCCAGTGGTGTAGCTTCACTCTAAACTCAAAATCTGGAAAGGTAGTAGTGGCAGTTTTTATGTGCAGGAGAAGATACCTCTCCCCACTCAAGAAGAGAGCAGATTTGCCCTCCGCCCACCTTTGTGTTGTATGCAGGCACTGGGTAGAGTGGGAGATGCTGACCTGGTTTGGAAAGTGTGGCCTTCTTTACTCAGTCTACCTGTGAAAATTCAAATGTCTTCTAGAAACATCCTCACAGACATCTAAAAGTAATGCATTGGAAGCTATGTGGGCATTTGTTGACCATAACATAAAATCAGCCATCATGGACGTGCTGGAAGCCACTTGCCTTTGACGAAATGGAAAGTCCTACTTCTGAGGTAATTAACACTAACCACAGAGAGCCAGTGACAGAAGACTACAAAACAACAGTATTATCAAGGAAACATACCAGGGAATAACATGAACCTAACTTTTTAAAATAACAAAATCATGCTAAAGGACTGCAAAGTATGTAATGAGAACACTTCTTGAAAATAACCAAAGAAAAGTGAAGTAGTTTCTCTCAATGAGTTTTGGTGATCTATCCAGAGAGAGTTAAAAAGTGGGCTCATCTAGACACAGTCAGCTTTTACCTCAGTTCCACAGCTCTGGGGACAGGGAATGGATGAACTAATTGATTGGATTATGAGCAACAAAATGCATACATACAAATATACAGACACATATATGCACACATGAGAAAAAATGTAAAATAAATTAATGAAGTTCAGCTCCCAATAGAAATATTAGTTGATGGGCTGCGGATTTAGCTCAGTGGTTCTGCCGTCTGCCTCGCAAAGCGCAAGGTCCTGAGTTCGATCCCCAGTACCAAAAAAAAGAAATATTAGTGGATGTCAATCCCCCATGAGTTCATACTCTTAAGACTGAAGCACTGACTCGCTGCAGTTCTGCGTACTTCAAAGATATTTTTGAAGAGTTCACCTAAGCCAGGAGAAACCTGTCACTGCCTGCCTTGTTAGAGCACCTGATGACCCACATAATTAGCACCCAACTATTGAAAGGAAATCCTTCCAGCTTAGGAAGTGAAAACAGAAACTTGAAAATGGAGTTAAAAAGAAAAGCAGGCAAATAATTATTTATCAAGTACTCTTTGATTGTGCTATGTGAAAGAAGTCCTGGCATTGAACAACGCAGACACACTAGTGACAGGCGAGGTTTGTGAGACGCGAGTAGAAGCTGAGCTTACTCTCTAGAGCAGGGCATCAGCTCTGGGATGAAGGTTGTGTGGCTCCTCAGCAGCATTCACAGGAGCTCTGGATGTGTCAGCCAGGCCTGTGTACTGTTTGCTCTCAGCCTCAACTCTCAGTTTTGAAATGTGTGAAAATCACCAAATTAGACAGTGTCATGTGAGACTATGAACATTTTTCTTTCTTGTTTTTAATTATTAAAAATTGTAATTGACCTGTATAAGTAATGTCTGCTGCATTGCTTAAATAGTTGAGCTTTAATGCGAATGCCATTCATTGCTAATGAAGAGAGGGGAGTTTGCTTCAGTAACTGGAGTGTGACAGAAATGTCAACTATGAAAACATAGCATTTTTATTCCTGAAACAAAGAATAATTTTTCTACTGTGTATTTTTTTTTAGCTGCAACACCATATGATCTACAACCATATGATCTACAAATCTGGTTTAGTTCACTCCACAGAAAAATCTCAAAGATTAGAAATGCTCTTATTCTTTCTTAATTACCTTACTCATTTCCAAATTAACTCTCTATTTTTGTTAGTAATCAATTTGCATTCAAGTTGCAGATTCCTCCATGGCAGTAAGCCAAGAACTAAAGGAAATATTGGTTGAAAGGGACTATGCATGAGGCTAGGGAAGCCTAATTTATTTTTGTCCATTGTCTTTCATTTATACTGTAGGAGAAATTCATCTTAATTTTTCTTCAGCTGTTAGTGCACCTTTTTTCTTCCTATAAACTTTAGGTAAGACAGCTGGAGATCTTGAGATTCTGCATTTTCTACATCAGCAAAACTCAGAGTCTATGCTATGAAAGTGGTGTGATTCTGTTTAATCACAGTGTTACATAACTCTGCAGATTCTCTAAGGTGTAATGATATTTAGAGGTGACAGTAAAAGCATTACAATTCTACCAAGTGTTATACAGAGAAACTGTGCACAAGGAAAGCTGAACTTTCTCAAACAGCTAGTGGGAACATAATGAACTATTTTTTCCTCTACAACATTTTGATCCCCCCAAAATAGCTAGTTGAGATTTTGGTCACAAACTTGAAATGTTGTTATAACATACCTATTAAACTGACAAATAAATTCTGCACATGCTATTTATGGATTCTTCAATACTTTCATAGAATGTACATCAAGTAGGATTAAAAAATTCAGACAGACTAGTGTGCAATAGATATTAGCTCATTTGAACGAAAAATATACTGACACATTTAGGGACCTTTTGAATTATTTTAATTGTTTTTCTTTTGAAGTGCTCACAAAGCTTTGTTTCATTGTGACATTAGTGTTAATACTAGTAA